CCCCCGCCCCCGCCTGCTCCTGTAGAAGCAGCATTACCAGCCAAACGTGCAGCCGTACATATAGCGCTGAATGCCAAACGGCCACCCACACCCCGCGACACCCTCTCTCCACTACCTTTATCCGCCATCGCGCCAGGCGCAACCGAACCTAAACCGCCTCCACCTCCCAGCGCAGCGCCTCCTGTGCCCCGTCCCGTCGAGCCTATACCTCCAACACCTACGATCCCTAAGGTACTACCATTTTGGATACTCAAGAAGACGAAACCGAAACGGACAAGAGAGGAGGAGGCCCAAGCGTACGGTCGTGTATTCGCTGGATGCGGTCAACAAGACGACTATGATGCGACGAGCAAGCTGGGTGAGGGCACCTTTGGGTATGCATTGTTTCCAGGCTCTCGTACAGTCTGATATACTAATATTGTTCAGCGAGGTTCACAAAGCCAAGCACCGGGAAACGGGTCGCATGGTCGCGCTCAAGCGTATTCTCATGCATAATGAGAAGGAGGGCATGCCCGTCACGGCTTTGCGCGAGATCAAGATCTTGAAAGCTCTCAACCACAAGAACGTCGTCGAACTGCTTGATATGTTCGTTGTCCATAGTACGTGATCCCCTCATTCATAATGTGCCTTCATGCTGATGGAAACCAGGCGGCAAGAGTAAGGACGAACCACTATCCGTGTATATGGTGTTCCCGTACATGGATCACGATCTTGCTGGTTTACTCGAGAACTCCCGTGTCACGCTCGCGCCTAGCCATATCAAGCTCTACATGAAGCAACTTCTCGAAGGCACAGAGTACATGCACAAGGTGAATACTCTTTCTCTACCCAACAAGCATGCGCGCTGACCCGTATGGTCGACGTAGAACCACATTCTGCACCGCGACATGAAAGCGGCCAACCTCCTGATCTCGAACGACGGTAGCCTCAAGATTGCCGACTTCGGTCTCGCACGCTCCTTCGATCCCAGCGCAGCAAGGCTAGCCGAATCTGATCCAAAGCTACGCGATAGGCGCTACACCAACTGCGTTGTGACGCGGTGGTATCGCCCACCCGAGCTCCTTCTCGGCGCGCGGCGCTACGGCGGGGAGATCGATCTATGGGGCGTCGGGTATGCCTCTTGCCGCCATCCCCAGCGCTCTAACGATGTGCTCACGCGAGGAATGGGGATGATAGCTGCGTCTTCGGCGAGATGTTCCATCGGCGACCTATACTGTGCGGCACGACGGACGTCGACCAGCTTGAGAAGATCTGGACGATGTGTGGGACGCCGAATCAGCATTCGTGGCCGAACTTCGATCAGTTGCCTGGGTGCGAGGGCGTCAAGCATTTCAGCCCACGCCCCAAGCAGATGAAGCAAATGTTCGAAAGGTACACTCGTTCCGTGCGTTGACAATCGTAGACGTAGACTGATGATGATATAGCTTGGACTCTGAAGTGTTCGATCTGCTCGAGAAGCTGCTTACCTGTAATCCGACGGAACGCATCAATGCCACGGACGCGCTTAAGCACGATTACTTCTGGACGGACCCTCTCCCAGCCGACCCAAAGACGTGCGTCCTCTCACACTCCCCTACCTTACCTGATTCCATGCTGATCTCGTTCCGTAGTCTGCCGCAGTACGAAGCTTCGCACGAGTTCGACAAGCGTGGTCGGCGAAACATCGGCCAACCCGAGATGCCTCTCCAGCAACAACAACAGATGCAGCAGATGCACCAAATGCAGCACGAGCAACAGATGGCGATGGGCATGGGTCCAGGTGGACCGAACATGAACGGCATGGCTCCCCCTCCTGGGTATGGTCAACGTCCTAATATGCCCTACCGTGGTGGTCCGTACGGTGGTCCGCCTATGAACGGGCCAGGACCTGGAGGACCTCAAGGTCACCAGCTCCCTCCGCCTACGAACGTCGCGTACCCCGGCGGACGTGGGAATCGGGGCCCTCACGGTCCACCTCAGCCCCAACCGCAGGCGCTACCACCTCTACGTTTCGGGCATAATGGCCCGCCTATGGGTGGTCCTCCGGGGCCCTACGGAGCTCCGCCACCGGGTTTCAATGGTCCGCCTCCGGGTTATGGTCCGCCGATGCAGCAGTTTAATGGACCGCCGCCGCCTGGGCCTGGTGGGTTTGGTCCACCTGTCATGAACGGGCCGCCAATGAGGTGGGGGCCTGGTCCGAATGGTCCACATGGCGGGAGAGGCGGGCGGAGAGGTGGTGGAGGCGGTGGCGGGAGGGGAGGATACGGTGGTAGTGGTGGACGAGGGGGCGGGCCTCCTGGTGGTGGCGGAGGAGGCGGTGGCGGTGGTAATCCGCTTCCATACGACTAGATGGGATGCTCCTGTTCCTTGCTTTCTCGGACGCTTGAGCTAGAACTTCCCGGTTCGGTACCCGGAAGGAGACTTTATTGTCCGCTGTAACCTACTTGCACTCGCATCTGCTTTCGTCTTGCTTTTTGTGATCCCTGTCGGCCTATTGTCATTGTGCTTGCGTCGAGGATAGCGCGTTTTCCTGAATCAGCTTGTACGCGTTACACACGTGACCGTGTTCTTTTGTGCGTCCATATACGCCCACAGTCGCAACACGAGCAGAAGGCATTGCGACAACAGGCTGCAACCGCGTCGCATTCCAATCCACCATCATGTCTGATACAGAGATTCCTCCGGGACTAGAGGGCGACCTCGTAGAAGTCGAATCGAGTGGCTCAGGAGAATGGGCAGCTTTCGACTCGCGGAAGTGGTATACAAACGCTCTCGTCTTCGATCCGAGTGGTAGCAAGGTCAGTATTCTGACCGTCGCTGCACGAGGCAGATGTGCTGATCAAATCCGTAAGGTGCTGCTGGGATTGAAGAAGAGAGGGATGGGGACCGGTCTGCGAGTCTCTCGCTACCTTCATGCGCGAATGGCGCCGCTGACTGGAGTAGTATTGTAGTTATAACGGGTTTGGCGGCAAGGTCGAGCCCGGCGAGACCCCTGCGGAAGCTGCGAGAAGAGAGTTGAAGGTACTTTCTCTCAGTGCTATATTACGTGTCAAAATGTGAGTCGTGCTGAGCGTTCCATCAGGAAGAAGCTGGCATAGACGCCCCGTTACAGCATTGCGGCTCTCTTACGTTTGTAACAGAAGACGAGGCGCGCGTCTACCAGATAGAGCTATACCGGGCCTCGGAGTACACCGGAGAGATTGCCGAGTAAGATGAATGGATACTCTCTCTTGCGCTCGGCGCTCACCAACGCCAATACAGAAGTGACGAGATGATCCCACAATGGTTCTCGACAGGTGCGGCTTCCGCCGGCATAGTCGCTGGAGACGAGGGTCTGCCCGCGATACCTTACGAACAGATGTATCAAGAGGCAAAAATCTGGGTGCCACTGATACTGGCTGGGAAGCATGTAGTCGGGCGCATAGACTTCGTTCCAAACGCGTCTGCTGAGCGGAAGTATGATATGCGGAGGTGGTGGTTCGGTGTACCTATAACCCCATAGTTCATGTGTTAGCCGAACAGTAGTCAACGCTGGTAGACATTCAAAGTCGCTTCCCATAGATTGACCGAGTCGCGCCTCGACAACCTCCTGGCGAGGTGATTTCCGTATACATACTTTATCCACGTGATCGCGTATCTACGGCGCCTATATGCATCCACAACGCGTCGAAGCCCGCGCGCCGCGCGACGCGTTTTCCGTCTGTCAACCATCATGTCTACCACTGCCCTACCTCCAGGCCTCGAGGGCGACCTGATCGAAGCTACATCTGGTGGGGCTGGCGAGTGGGCCGCGTTTGAGAAGCGCAAGTGGTACACAAACGCGTTCGTGTTTGATCCGAGTGGCTCGAAGGTTAGTGCAGTGCTGTTGACTGCAACGCCGCGTCCTGACACGGGTCGCCGCGACAGATGCTTCTCGGCCTGAAGAAGAGAGGATTTGGAGTCGGTCTGTAAGCTGCTGCTGGTACCCAATAGAACTTGTGTCTGATCAATAGTGCAGCTACAATGGGTTCGGCGGCAAGGTAGACCCAGGCGAGACACCAGCTGAGGCGGCAAAGAGGGAGCTCAAGGCGAGTCGATCCGCTGAGCGCGTATATACCTTATGCTCATGTCGAACATCTAGGAAGAGGCCGGGATAGATGCACCCCTGGAACACTGCGGTTCATTGCTCTTCATTCTTGAAAACGGGCCAGAATGGGCTTTCCAGATAGAACTGTACCGTGCATCATCATACACCGGGGAGATAACCGAGTGTGTATACACTATAATCGCACACTATTTGACGCTCATAGACAATACAGGACGGATGAGATGCGCCCTATATGGTTCTCGACGGGCAAGGCCGTCTCAGACATGGAATCTGCGGCGGAGTCCTTGCCCGCAATTCCCTACACGCAGATGTGGCAGGATGATATCCACTGGATGCCTCTCATGCTTTACGGGAAGCCCTTTGTGGGTCGAGCGGACTTTACGCAGGATCCTGCTGCGCCTGGGGAGTACAACATGCGGAAGTGGTGGTTCGGAGTCCCGCCAACCTACGCATCATCTTGAAGAACACTATATCTTGCCATATATCCGAGCACTAATCGTACACCTGAATGCATTTACACCTTGCATAACACTCGTTAGACCTGCGCCATCGCTTCCTCAAGCAGCTTCGTCACAACGTTCGCAGACCCCCACGATGTCTGGAAGCCGTACCCAGCGTGCCTGCAGGAGATTAACTACCAACTTCTACCAATGGGACGGTCAGACGCACCCATAGTTGAAGATCACAGGGACCTTGCGACCTTGCGAGCCAGGAACTTCACGCCACTCGGTTTCCATACGGATACCTCCCTTACGAGCGGGCCGGAATCCGCATCCTTCCTCAACGATGAGGGCCTCCATGTCTTCAATCGTGGAAGCACGCTTTGCCCTTATCTCAGGCGGTGCGATCTCTGGGTAGAATGCAAGCGTGCGCTGCAGAATATCCGTCTTGGTCTCTGGACGCGGCTTGGGATACCTGTGTCGCGATGAGAGATCTGCTCTGGCGAAGATCAGACGGAAAACAAACCAGTCATCCGGTACTCTCGTCCCACCTAGAATGACATCTCCCGAACGGCGAGGGATGATATAGGTATGTGAGCCGGTTTCACCCACGAGCGAACGCCCGCCGCTCTCCCTGATCCAAGGAGCGTGAACAATGACCGTCTGCCCACGTTGGGGGAACACATCCTTGTCTTCCAATCCTCCGAGAGTACGGGCAGCCAGACCAGGACAGCAGATGAGAGCGTCGATGTGTGTACCGCGCACACGAGACCCTGTCAGGAGGGCAAGCCCACCTTCGAGGATCTGGTCGATATGATTGACAGATGCTCGATGCAGGGTTCCGCCCGCGGCGAGGAAGCGCGAGAGTAGATACGGGATATATGCGGGCGTATTGATATTGAGCGCTGTCAGCGCTACACCGGAGGTGGCGCCAGGAACCTTGGCGTACTCTTCTTCGGACATCTGGCGGAACTGTCACAATATGTGAGATCGTGAACCCTATATCAAGTGGCAAGATACCTTACGTCTGGGTAAACAGAGAGTAGATCCGGGTCGGCTTGAGGTACAGTGTAGAACTCTTTCTGCGGCGCCCGGAGGAAGCAATGCTCCGCGCCGCTGCCAGGCTCGGACATCTTCCACATAACGTCCAGGGTCTCTTTCTCCAACTCTACAAAGGGGCCATGCAGCATAATAACACGAAGACGTGTAGAAATGATGCTTACGGTGGTGAAAGTCGTTGCCTAGGTTCATGACATGATGGGCACCCTGAACTTTGATCAGTAATGGAGCGACAATGCGTCGAAGAGTGAACCTACCGCCCAATGGCTCGTATATGCTACGCTCTTGGGGTCTGTGGGAAGCGTATCCGCGACGATGGTCACCCGATAGCCGCCTTTCTCTTGGATAGCGAGCGCGGCAGTGAGCCCGATAACGCCTTTGGCAGCGTTATCATCTGGGCGCAGCATGTAGAGGATAGATATTACCTGCGCCGAGTACGACGATGACCTTTTCCGAGTCTGTTGACGGCATACTAGGAGGGGAAGCGTACTTCAAGGTGTTACATTCGTGAGCCTATACACGTAGCTCATAATGTCATAGTATCGATTACCTTCTCCCAAGGAGATGGTCGAGCTATCGGATTTGGGAAGCCGCGATGTAGGGAGTTAGATTGTCTGTGCCGTGAAGCACAAGAGCTCTCCTTCACAACGAGCAGCTATTATATGTGACAGTGAGAGGGGTCGACGAATCAAATCAGTATCGGCTGTCTGAGGTGGTGGTCCAGCGTTAAGGTATGTAATACGCGCGTACTGACACTTATCGCGCGCAGAGGACGGGGCGGTCCCCCGATCGGCTGTTCGGCCGTGGCCGATGTACCTGTGATCCAGACGCGCCTCGAATCCGGATGTCCATACTTAGCAGTCGTCTTTATCGCGAAGGGTCCAACTCGATGCCTACAACCAAAGCACTGTACATGATGACTATTTCGTACAACAGTCATATTTCCCCGCCCAAATTAGTGACCTGAATGCCCACTCTTGTCATTCTTGCCACTTTTCCCGCTGCTTTTGCCCCCCTTCGAGTTGTTCGCTGGGAGCCGGAATGGGGCAGCAGTGAGATCGCCAAGCGATGCGCCAGGTAGTGTGACGCGGAATACGAGGAACTGGTTGTCGACATTGATCCCGGCGTTGTAGGGTTCGCCAACCGCGATGCCGTTCTCAGTCTGGAAGTCATTATCCGCCGCCGTGAAGAGGAAGTAATCGTCCGGGTTGTTCGAGTCCTGGCAGGACACGAGCGCGAGCGACTCCCACTTGCCGACGATAAGCGTCTCATCTTCCTCCGGGCCGTTGTGCAGACCAAAGCGCGCGAGCTGGGTGTCGTCGATGTAGTTGACGAACGAAACGTACTCGACCGGCGTGATCTTGCTCTTCAGATCGCCATCCGGAGCGACGGGGTTCGATGGATCGTCGTACTTGGTGCCGGCGATGTTCGTGGCGCTCTTGGTCGAGATGAGGTCGGCCTGCTTGTACGCCGAGGTAATATCCGAGTCCGAGTCGCCATTGCCCATACCCTTGCCGTCGCGTGCCAAAACGAGGAACATGTTCTCGGATACATAGTGGAGCTCGCTTCCGCCGTACACCTTTCCGCTGCTGCTCTTCGTCGGGAGAGTGACTACCCACTCGCCAGTGAGCGTGGGGCGGACGGATTCATTCGAGATGTCGTACGCCACGAGACGCGTGTACTGGGAGTCATCGTCCTCGACGGTGCCGCTCTGGAGAAGAGCATACAACGTCTTGCCATCGCCCGAAACCGTGAGGCCCTCAAAACCTAAGGCACCATCAGTTTTGCGCATGAAACCAGCACACGCGTGCCCCGTACCTTGGTTGGCGGCGCGGCCGGTCTTGGGGTCATCCTCAGAAGTAAAGTCGAGCGCTCCCTTCTTGGTGAGCGGTAGGATGGCCTCGGGCGGGGCGATGGCCTGGATCAGAGCTCCCGTGGCCGAGAACTTGTAGATGTACGGGCCGTACTCGTCGCTCATCCAAAAAGAACCGTCCGAGTTGAGCACGAGACCCTCACAGTCGACAGAGATGTGGTTGTCCGACGAACTGGGAATCGGAAGCGGAGGGTCTGCGGTAGGGGCATTCGCATCAGGGTACTGCGAGCTGGCTGGTCGTACGCCTGCGGCATCCAGACCAGTCGTCTTGCTTCCGTCGCGGTCGGTGTAAAGCAAGGTGCTCTTGTAAGTCAGGCCCAGGGTCTTTGCAGCATCGCTGAACGAAAGATCGCTGCTACCGTAGTACGGGGTCATCACGAAGTCGATGTCATGCTGGCGACCTTGGTAATCAATGGTGGTTTCGCTGTATTGCTCTATGAATACCCGCCCTGAATGTAGCGATGCGAGACAGAAATAGCTTACATGTTGTAGCCACGGTCCGGCTGGACGACGAGAGTACCTGAGTACGAGGTGTTGCCCTTGGCGGTGAATGACTTTAGCGCGATTGCGCTGCCCAGACCGCCGAGGGTGTCCCCCGTGGACTCCGTAGCGTTGCTGGGAATAAAGCCAAAAGCGACTATGCCCTGTGTGAATTCTTAGCCGACTGCCTACAGGCCGGGACCACAGCCACACGCACCTTATTCCCATAGGTCGCGCCATCCAACGTGGCTGTGTTGGAGGAGGTGGCCCTCGGGCTGGGCCGAGCGCTTGCCCCGGCGGCGAGCGTCGCTACGGACAGTGCGGAGAAGAACATGTCGGCTCGAGCGGACTCCGAGGTTGTTCGCCATCTTCAGATCTTATATGCACTCGCACACGAGCAGCTACGAGCATAAGGCCCAATGACAGTGTGGCGCCCCGAAGAGAACCAAGGTGGGAGAGAAGGACAAGAACATTCTTTGGCGAGCACGTTCGTTCATTCACGCAGCCACGGCCATCGCCGCCGCCGCGGTGCCTCGCGGTCCCTTGTTCTCTGCTTTCGACCACCTTGTGCCTTTCGAGGCCGGTGCTGCGTGCACCACGTTCGTATAGATTGATCTGACTTCATGTCGATCTCCCCTACGTGCTTCGTAGATGACTTTTCGTTGGAGCCCTCGCCGAGGCGACCCGTCCACTGCAGTCTCCGTCCACCAAGCTTTCTCTGTCATACAGTATCTCCGTACCTCTCGCACTTCGTCCTATGTCTTTGAAACTCCTATTTATTTGCGTCTGTCAGCCACTTGTACTGCGGGCATTGCCCCTTTACAAGCAGTGCGGACTTAGAAGCTACCTGCAACACGCAGTCGCGTGACTATACTGCCACAGCCCACGCGAACTTGGGTTGACTGCAGTCTATCAGATGAGCTGACGGAGATCGTGTGCGATAGGAATCATGTGCGTAATCCTCTCGGCCTCTCACTTATGCAATACTGACCTCAGGCGACAGGAACGTATTGTGACCAATGTATTCACTGAGCTTGAGGTTACGAGGGAGCAAAGCGGTTGTATCCCTCATACCCGGTTGCTACGTTCGCCTGCAAATCTTTAAGCTTCGTACGTACTGAAGCCGCCCAAGAATTGTCCGATCGGCTTCTTATAGAACAGATATTCACTGCAAACGACATTTACGCGTCGTCTGTGCTCCGTGAAACCCGACACATACATCTTGCGAAGGCGTGCTCTGTGCCGTCTCAAAGCACGATCTGAGAGCCGCGCAACAACAGCTACTGAGTGAGCCACCTATAAGCTATCGCGAGACTAATCTCAATGACCCTAAAGTCTAGCTCTCTCGTCATCATGAGCGCCGGTCGGCGCAGCGGTATGCGGTGGACACTTTCAGCATATCCTCATCCTTGCGCGCAAGCGGTTTTATCAAACATGTCCATCATACATCAGCGCTGGTGTATAGCCAAACGCTCCTCCCCGTCGCGCTGTCCATGGTGCCCGAGAGCCGCGTTTTAGAGCTGCATACTGTGCGCTCTCTGGTATATATCGCAGCCTTCCACCGGTGTCTGTCCTTGCAGTTCATCCCTTCCATTCACTATCCCTCGCACTATGCGGGTTCTTTCCTTGCTCTGGGCTGCAACTGCTTTCGCAGCTCAGGGAGCGTTTTCCCTACGTATCCCAACTCGTGCTCAGCCGGTCGCTCGTCGTTCCTCGGCCCTTCACCCAATCAGGTCTACTGGTGCCCTGTCCAGAGCAACCTCGAATACCACGACCTCTAACGGCGTTGGATTCACATCGTTCTTAACGAATTCGAACGATATCTTGGTACGCTAATATCCTACCTGGCTCGCTCAATGTACTCAGTCCTCATCAGTATATTGTCAATATCACGCTTGGCGGGTCACGTACGCACCTCGGACAGCTTCCAGAATACTCCTAATACACAATTTGTACAGCGTTTCTTCTCCAGCTCGATACCGGCTCGACCGACCTTGCCCTGATTCCAGATCGGCCCATCCAAACCTCTCTCGTCATTGATGACAATCCACCGAATTCATCATATGCATCGGGTTACATCGCGGGGCCTGTGGCCTTTGCCAAGCTTGAGTTCGGCCCATACACGATCGATGCGCAAGGTATGCAAATATTCTTGTTCAGTTTACAACTGCTGACATCTACGTCCCAGCGTTCATTAATGGGACATCGGTCAGTACTCTACACATGCTGATCCCACGTGGGCACACTCAAGCAGCGGTTTTACGCGTAGGAGACCTTCATAGACCAGTTCTACTATCCTAGAGGAGTTCGCGGCATCATGGGCGTCGATTTCGACGTCAATACGATCTCGAGTGTTCGAGGCTCGTTGAACCAGGGCTACCCAGCCGAGGAAGTTGTGTCGATGGGCGGTAGCGTTTTGAGCAATATCTTCGCACAGCAGCCCGAGCTCGGCAATTTCACTACCATCTATCTTGGGCGCACGAGGGACGGTGAAGCGACTGGAGAGGGCATCTTCACTGTCGGGGAGTATGTCGAGGGCACCGAGGATGACCTCCAGCACGTGGAATCGATGGACGTCTTCTCATTTGCAGAGGGCGAGGGCTTAGTATACTGGGCTCTTCCCATGGACGGATTAATTGTCAACGGGCAGTCCATCTCAGTGAACTCATCCCTGCCAAACGCACCTTCCGGCAAGGCCATTGCTGTCCTTGATTCGGGAACCAGTCAGGCTTTTGTACCCGATTATATCCGCGATGCCATGTATAGCGCCTACGAGGGTGCATACAGTGTGAATGGGTCATTGGTTTTGCCGTGTCTCAACGATGCTGCCAATGTGTCCTTCGTTTTCGGGTTCGTTCGTATGTTCTATCTTGGGTCGCCACCTCTAACGATGGCCCTTTCTAGCGGCGAAGACTTCTATATCCATCCAATCGACCTTACCGAAGTGATTGATCTCCGAACGTCTGGATACAATCTGACAGTCTGCGTCCCGACCTTCAATGGAAGCGCTCCACAAGGACTTGATCTGCTGCTGGGAGACAGTTTCATGCGCAACGTGTACACAGCGTACGTCTCAATGTTGCCCCGTAGCTTCAAGCCTGCTCATCGCAGAGCATGTGCAGCTTCGACTACGGCTCTGTTAGCCCGGCGGGCGAAGCGAAGAAGACACCGTCAGTGAAAATGCGGTCCATTTCGTCCAGCGTCGTCGACTTTGCCGACTACCAATTCTACCGCCGCAAGAACCTTGCCTCTTTGCCGCCAGAGGCTACGAAGGAGCAACTCGAAAAGATTACATCGCAGATACCACTTGCGACACTGGTGCTGAACAACAATCTGGCGGTGTCCGATACCGCGGAGTCACCGGGTGCCACGAATGTGCACGCCGTTGCGAACTCCCCTCATGTCGCAAGCGAGGCTCCCGTCGCCACCTCTCATGTCGCAAACAACCTCGACATCAGCTCTGCCTCTGTGTCGTCATCGGGCGACAACTCATACAGCGCACTCATTGACAAGCTCAATACGTATGAGCATGTCGTGGTTGGGCTCCTGGGTGCCATCATCGTTGCACTCGCCGGTCTTATGGCGGTTGGCGTCGCTGCCTGCATCCGTCGCGGCCGCTCGGTCGGGGCTCCGCGCAGCACGAACCCAGCTTATGCGCCGGTTCCCGTACGATTCAAGAAGCCAGAGGAAGGTCGTTCTGAGGAAGAGATGCCTAGTCTTGGTTACAGAGATTGAAGAACGGAACTGCCACGCGTCCCATCCTTTACCTCGCCACCTTCACTCACCTTCGATCTCCGACATCGTCATTTGGACTTGATTGATAATTTTGACCTTGTTTACCCATTCCTCGGCCTCAGTGCTCGCATTGTACCAGAGTATGAGCCTCTACAATACTGGACATTTTGTAGTTTTTTCTTTGCTCCGAATACATACACCATGTACTTACCTTCCAACTTCTTCGTCCGTGAGAGTTGCAGCAGTAGCCTCGCACCTAACTCATGTGACCGTGCTCGGATGACAAACAGTGTCGCGGCGCTTGCCGAGTCTTCTCCTACCGCCGTCACGTCGTTCTGTGAGCAACAACTGCCTACCAGAGGCCGAGGTTTTCAGAAAAGCCCCGTTGCCTCTGTAGGCAGCGCATACGCTATCCTTCCTGTCCCGGCAACGGGGGGCATACATGATGCCCGCTCGCAGAAAAGCGAGAGCTCAAGCCTCAGGGCCTCCGTGGGTCCACGGTCCACTGTCCCGCGTATTGTCTCGCGTGACTTGATGGTCTCTCGGATACGATGCCATCGAGTCTTTCCCTCAGGAACGGGTAGAAAATGTCTATGGTGCCGGAACTGCACACTTGGCCCGGATAGACCGATCCGAACTTACTCTGATCTAGAACGAAGTGACCTACCAAAGGAAGAATGCCACCGTACTACGCCACCGGGTGAATGATGGACAATGCGCCTGCACGATTCGGCGTGGCGCCCTGACGATATATGTCTAGCATCGAGTGCTGATCATCTCTCAATACTGTCATCTCCCACCATGTCGACCGACTCCACTCTCTCATATGGATGCGGCTTTTGGTGCAAGTTCTTCTGGTTTCTTTTCGCTTGCAGCATCCTCTTCAACATCATTTTGTATTATTTGTTGACAGAGCTTCAGAAGGAGCACGCGATTGTTAAGAGGGAGCGCTCGTTTGTGACTTTGGTTGTGTACGGGTGTCACTACGTATGCAGAGGTCGTCAAGTGGGAGGCGAAATCGTCGTTGACGATTGGGTAAGTTTGCTTGTATATCGGCATACCGCTATCATCGACACGTCTGTAGGACCACGGATTCTTGCAGAGCTTGTGGCGGAGGTTGGACGGCGTGTTTGGCAGGGAAGAAAAGATGGTTGTCCACACCAGAAGGTCCGCACATTCCTTTCACTGGCACCGCACAAAGACTGACTTATCGTATAGCTTCACGCCGGAGTCCATCGCCTCCAGTTCCGCACTTTCTCTTGAAGAACCTACAGTCTCGCTACGAGTGCCAGTCCAGCATATGCTTCATAATGGCTTCAAATGGCATCCACGCATCGTGGAGTACTATGCGCACGGAGCGGTCGCTCTCTCTGGAACTCCCCCTGTGCACGATCCCGCATTCACTGTCAACTTATCTACGACTGCCCATGGTGAATTGCACACGCCGCAACCAGGGGATACCTTTGTGTATCACTACGGCTACCAGCGCCAGATCTTCTACTGTTGGAATGATAGATGGATGTCTGATAAGGCGCATATGGCCGCGCACCCTGACGAGAAGATAGCCGCGAATCAGATCGTCTTGTACGCAGAGGAGGGCGGGGTAACAGCGAGGTGGCTGAAGTCGTCTACCGCAATACAATATGAAAGAGAGGCGGTACGCTCAATTGCTTTTGAGCATGACGTCTTGTTCGCTGATGAGTCCTGGCTATTAGAGGCGCAAGCGGTTAGCTGTCAGCCTCTCGGCAGGGAGCAAGTAGTTCAAGGTCATGTCGGCTTCCAAGCGATGCAAACATGTGCAGGCGTCTATGTTCGTGCTCTCTTGATGTTGTAGTAGCTATGGCTTGAAATTCATTTCCGGGCCCCGGGGGCTTACCATGAGGGAAATAGCCTGTATGGTTAGAATCCTCGACACGTATGGACCCGATAGGATGGTCCAGAGCGTGTTTGGACACATCGCATCCTTCTGATAGAAAGGCATGCAGCACATACAAGAACCCGTAGCTTGACCGGGCACCAGATGAAGTGTTCCATCGAACAACGCGCCGGCCTTACACCTCACGCACAAGGAGTATAAATCAGCTGCGGAACGCAAAGAGGCAAGCGTGGTATCAACAGCACTAAGTCTGAGCGGTGAGCTCAGGCGGCCCGGCAGGGCTGTCTGACTGGACGTTGATGGCTACGGTGCAGTCGTGGAGATCTTGCCTTGTTCTATACCGCATGGATTTTGTTCCTGGTGGACGAAGTTGCTATTCGAATCAGCTGGAGCGCATCGATCGCGTCTTCATCAGCACGCCGAAGCCTCTCGTTCGGGGCGAGGCGGCGGGGCGAAGCTCGGGGTTCTCCCACGTCAGTTGGGCCACATACGTTGCCTTTCGCCCCCAAGCATCGCTTGGCTGAATATCGAATTCTTCTTGATTCAGTCGTGCGCGACCCGCAAGTCATCAAGTCATCATGTATCCCGACATTCAACATTGCAAGACACAGTACACCCATGGCCACAACACCAGTCGAGAGCCCGAGTTCACCGTGAACTACTACAAGTCTCACGACGGGCCTGCGCTCGATGTGCCACCTCCCGACTATTTCTTCGCCACTAAGCTCATCGGCGACACGTATATACATTACCCCACTGGCGTTGCCGTGCCGCAGATGTGGGTTCGCGATATGGGGTACCAATGGAAGCGAGTCGAATCGGGTGTATCGCACCCGTATCTGTCTCCCGCCGGCAGTTATGAGCCATACGTGCTGAACATTCGTGAAGGCGATCAGTACGCGACGTGGATCGTGGGAAATACTAAGAAGGAATATGAGAGAAAGCGTGCTAAAAAGGTATGTCAGCTAGTGTATGACTATACCAGATGAACGAGCGCACGACTGAGGCATTGCGGCGTAGGACGATGTGGCGTCAGAGTATTACATCGCGGGCTTGCGTGCCGGGGAGAGCTCCGCTGGTGGACAGCCGTCGTCGGTCGGCACAAGTCGATGGTTCTGGTGATGCGGGATCTGAGCTTCACAACGTGTCCGTTGTCAAGCAAGATAAGTGAACAAAGCAGGACTCATGACATTTAGATGTTGAAGGAACGAATGGCGGTG